CCCAAGAACACAACACAATGTCCCCGGCCAGGGCTCGAACCCGGACCGCTCGATCCGGAGACGAGCGCACTAACCATGAGGCCACCGCGCCTCCCATATCCCATCCAGGGGGGAGTAGAAATACTGCTAATCAGTTCATGCTACAGGAACCGGGATAATCTCCGGCCTGATGGGCCACTTGGCTCGAATGCAGACGTGTACATTACCTAGTCTAGAAGAAGTTATGCTACAGAGGTACTACGCGAAACGGTTGGGATGACCGTTGTGTGTGGATGTTTGTTGTTGCATTGCAGTTTTTTTTTTTTTGTTTTTTGTTTTCTAAATGAAATAGCGCTTACCATTGATGCCGTTTATCCTGACAGAAGACAGAAATGGAAGGAATGAAGCTATTTTTTGGAGTTATCCACCGGCTCGTAACAATTGGAATGAAGTAGTCTTTAATTTTCGCAAGGATTTTCCGGCGTAAAATTACTGTTCCATTTGTTTTACAACCGAAATTTCAGGGACTTTTGGCTTACTTGTTAGCACTGTACCTGTTGTGTTCATTATCACCTTGAGTATATATATGGTATGTTCAAAGTTTTCCACCATTTTGTCCTGTTCTTTCCTGGTAGTCATCCACTGCCCAAACGGTTGTTTCCATAATGGGGATTGCATAGGTGCCATATGTTTCTGTTATCCCGGTTGGACTGGGGAGGACTGTTCTCGATTTCACTGCCACGACTTGCACAACTGTTCTGGTAATGGTAAATGTATGGGTCCTAACGCTTGCAAGTGCTATCCCGGATATTTGGTAAGCTTTTTTTTTTTTTTTTTAATATTCCGTTGTTGACAAAGATCTAGTAGTTGAACCCCAAGTCGTCAGTAAGTGTCAGGGAAAGTTGGATTACTGCCACATCTACGAAATGATACATTTACGTGCGAGAAAACCGAAACTCAACACACAATCAGACTTCATTAGAGCAATAGTATATGTTTGACTCTCTACGACGTCAGGTGCTTAATCATCTAAATTAACAATCAATTTATTCTGGAGTCTGCATCATTATTCATTTATTCTTCTGCGTGAAAATTGACATTGGTCAGACTTTATTTCTTTGGGTAATGTTACCTTGATAAAAAGGGAATTGACCTCTTTTTATGTAGGGTCTTGGCTGCACATATTCCTTCTGCGAAAAGTACGAAAGTTGCTCTGATTGCGTGACAGATCCTTTTTGTGGATGGTGTGACAGCTCGCGTTCCTGCCTTGGAGGTTTTGCTGAAGGACCACCCAAAAGAAGTTGTCCCGATTGGTTCTACTATCACTGCTACACTGTAGGGGACAAGAGCCGCTGTTCAAGAAATATTCCGGTGAGCGAGTGAACTAAAAAAATAGCACACACACATGTAATATTTTATGCATAAAAAAGTCTGGCGATCCTGTATCTTGGTCCGGGAGAAGGGGGTACTCAACGAAGTTTTATACTATGAGGCTCCGCCCCGAGGTCCAACATATTCCTTTTCGTATTCCATTTTGACTTGACAGAAAAAGTACCCCTTTCACGTGCTTTCATGACCGGCCGGTAGTATGAACAAATCGCCAATAAACGAAACCATTTTTTGCCATGTTCATGTTGTGCCTAATAAATTGGATGCACCTGTTCGAAATATCTTAATTAAAGCACTTTTAAATGGCTAAATGGCAGACTGCTACATACCCTTTTATATACCTCGACTCGCGAAATCCCTACCCTTTTACATACCTGCAGCCTGAAAAGGTACCCCTTTTGTGCGGAGCCCTCCCGTATAGGCCAACATAGGGACTAGATTCCCCCCCCCCCGGTATATTAGTGCCTCAGCTGGGAGCCTATAGTATATCGATTTTTTGTTGCGTTCTTAACTTTCATGTAGGGCATATAATTGTCAAGTAAAGAATCGCGAGTTCCAGCTAGGGAATTGAGACACTATTAAAAACACACACTAAATTGAACTGAACACATCATGATCATGATCATTCTGTTTTTCTTTTTAGACTGTGGACTGTGGAGGTAAACAGTGCAATTTTAGGAATGGAAGAGGAACTACTGAATCCTGTCAAAAATGCCAGGACCTCGACAAATGTTACAAAATCGCAGTAAGAAGTGTTATGTTATTCTTACTGTATTGTTCACTATTTTATGAGATAGCGTAGCATAACCACACTATCACACGCAATGTACGTTAAGCATGGATCATAATAATGCTGCAAACACATGGCTTGGGAAGGTAAACTTCCTTCGCGCGATAAAGCAATTTCTATTGGCAATGATCTAAAGAAATTGATACATGTCTTTGCCATGCATCATCGAGTTACGACCAAGTTTTGGAGAGTACACGAGAAGCTAGGATTGCTCTCGGCCGCGCTTCGAGAAACTCTCGTTCTCTTCGAACTTCGCGCGCCTCGATTCATAATTCGAGCTCGGCTGCATGTTTAAGCTTGAATTAATTAATAATTAAAAAGCCAGAAAAATCTAAGATGACGCGAAGCCCGCTAGACGATCTATAGGAAACTCCTTTTATCCGATAGGTATTCCCTCCTACGATGGCTAACTCTTTTGATGAAAGTTAAAACTAACTGAGATAAAACTGTTAACATTAAATTAGCAGGAAGAAGGTGAATGTAGAAGCTGGAATGAGACTCGCTGTCCTGATGGCCAAGTTAGTGTGGACTATACTGACCCACAGAGAGGCGAGAACGTGAAACTCGCTGAAAATGTGAAATTTGTCGAGGCAAATACCACGGTTATTTACGCCTGTCCGGTGATTACGGCCCAACATAAGGACATTTCACTTGTATTTGTTGCACCGAAAGTCCTAGATGTCCGAGCCGGCGATATACTGTGCAGTCCTCAAGCCGGAGGGATTATGCATAAAATAGTTGCAGAAGTCAGCGATGGTGAGTTTTGTGAGGGTGTCAGGATGGTCATGCACTTCTGGTTCGGAAAACGTAACTTATAAAATGCTTTGAGTGGCGTTCTCGCGTATAACTCGTGGATTTAAGTTGTGTGTGTGTATGTGTCGTGTGAACCACGTGATCAACAATGATTATTTGATTAAAGTTAGCCGTGTTCAGACCAGGGAGGGGTAAGGGTGGAAACCACCCGCGTTCAATTTAACCACTTACAACGTTTTTAATCATGATTCAAATGAAAGCTGCCACAAGTTGCGACTTTATGAGAACTGCAACTGGGAAAAAAATTGGCTCGACATTTCGCTGTTTCCATGGCAACCGTATTTCAACAGGCATGTCTAGTTTTGGAATTTTCTTGTACCATTGACAAAATTCAAATTTTATGCCGGTTCATATATTTTCATTCTTAGGACTTCTTAGTATTGCTTTATTGATTTTGATTGCAATTGCTTCTGAGTCGTTTCTGCTGATTCTTGACGTTCTGGAAAAAATGCAAGGTGGCGGATCCAAATGGTGGCTGTTTGGAAAAAATGACATAATTATGATGTGATATGACGTCATCATGCCATCTTGCATCTTGCAAAGATATTTTTTGATGTACTATATATTCCCTCCAAGTAACATCATTTAGTACATAGTATTAATGTGTAATAAAGTGGTGGAAGGAGGGGTTTGAAATTTCCGTTTCGCCCCTCCCTCCGGTCATAAACTATTGAAAAAATCTGGTCTACATAAAACTTAATTTAAAAAAAAAAAACATGTTTCGTGCCTCATGTTATTTGCCAGAATCCAAAATAAGCTCGATGCAAAAGCAACAACCAAGGAAAGAAACCGAGCGGATCTTCACGCTACTTAAACTTAGTACGTATTTATGGAATTAAATGAAACCTGTTTAGGGTGCAGTTGATGCACAACTGTTTCTCGGGCACATTGAATTCGTTCGTAAACCGGGCGGAACATCTGATAACTGCAAATCCTTGCGCTCTTAAGCTGATTCGGAGTGGAAAAAGGGATTATTTCTTGCAACCATCGAATGATGCCCTTAATCTGTTGTTATTTCGTTTGCCAGGCCCATTTCGAGTGATGATGAGCGCCCCGGCAGGCTTGGAGGAAGTCATTAGGTATGCAGACTTCAAGAAAAAAGCGACGGTGGAGGACGTGGACGATGATTCAACTCTGGAGGAGGAACCGGATGAAGAGGACTTGGAATAAATTATTTCTGGAAACATCACGGTTAACTCGAGCCGTATAATTGTCCTACCAGACGGTGAGTTGGTTCGTTTTCCCTACAGTGTTTTTTTTTTTTTAACATAGATCTTAGCTCTACTTTACTCAGGGATTGATGGAATGCTAAGAAACATGTACAATGTAGGTGAGGAAAAAATTAAAGTAGGCCTTAATTTGGAAGACGTGTTTTCTTTTTGTTCTTCAAAGTAGGTGTGATGTATGCCAGTTGAACTTTTACTGCAGCCATGCACCACCTTGCGAACAAAATAAATAAGCTTCACTCCTATTTAGCCATAAGATGTTGCAGAACGAGAATCCTTTTCTTCAAGCTGCTGACTTGAAACAAAGTCAGGATGTAGAGGAGAACCCGATTCGATAATGAGCTGTCTCCAAAGCCATTCGTTTGAGTATATCTATGGATGAAATTGTGTTATTAAATTCCAGTGTACAAATGTCTTGGGCACACGTACGAGATTGGAAACTCCATTGTTCACTCTTATTACCTGGTGATAGAGAAAAACCTCACGGTCCCCAAGGAAGGCGACATTGTAGCGTCAAACGTGAGTGGTGGGTTCATCGAGACTCTCGTTTCAGTTCATAAAACCAACGACACAGGATACTTGGAAACAAAGTTTCAGCGATGCAACGAGAATTCTCAGTTGAATTCCACCAGGTATAGTGATATTAAAATAATTTTTTTTTGTTTCTTCTTTTTAGAAACAAGTTTTAATACTAGAATAAAGTTGTCATGTTGCTGAATGTTCTTTTAAGAAAGACCTTAAGTACGCGATTTAAATATCACAGAAGTGTGGCATACTAAAGTATAAGCAAAGTGGTCCAAATTATGGTATAATTTCCTGATTATCTCTCTTCCCTTCCCCCAACCCTCCCCCCGGTTTGTTTGTTTGTTTGCTTTTTCTTTTTTGCACCTTGGCACCTAGTACAAAGGACTTCGACCACATTTCACGTTATTAAGTAAAAATAAAGAAAGAAGAACAATGCCGAAAAATCTGCCTTGGCTTGCCCCAAATATAAGTTACTTATAGATAATATGTACATCTATACTTGCGTTCTGCGGAGCCATGTGGCCATGGACTACTAATGGGGCCATAGACTACACATGGAGCCATGGACGACACGCTTGTGTCTACAATAACAAAGCAATGATAAGGAATAATTCCTCGCTTTATCTATTTCTAAACCAACCAGACTGACACAAAGTAGACAGACATTTTCCCAGTCGGTGTTCTGTAGCGGAGGAGACAACAACCCTGGACTCGTGCTTTCAGCAGCGGGAGAAAGAGTTGAACATTTTGCAATCAATGACTCAGTGGTAGGAAGGCCAAGCCGTGGCTACATCGCAAAGGTATTTCCTAAGGAAAAAATGCAAATTGTACTTTGACTTCCATTTGCAATTAATTGACAAATTAAAAGACTAGCAGTTTCTTCTCTTATGTGGCCTGGAATGGATTAATTCTAACATGTCAACAGCCCGGTGGCCTCATGGTTAGTGCGCTCGCCTCCGAATCGTGTGGTCCGGGTAAGAGTCCTGGCTGGGGACACCGTGTTGTGTTCTTGGGCAAGANACTCTCTACGACGTCAGGTGCTTAATCATCTAAATTAACAATCAATTTATTCTGGAGTCTGCATCATTATTCATTTATTCTTCTGCGTGAAAATTGACATTGGTCAGACTTTATTTCTTTGGGTAATGTTACCTTGATAAAAAGGGAATTGACCTCTTTTTATGTAGGGTCTTGGCTGCACATATTCCTTCTGCGAAAAGTACGAAAGTTGCTCTGATTGCGTGACAGATCCTTTTTGTGGATGGTGTGACAGCTCGCGTTCCTGCCTTGGAGGTTTTGCTGAAGGACCACCCAAAAGAAGTTGTCCCGATTGGTTCTACTATCACTGCTACACTGTAGGGGACAAGAGCCGCTGTTCAAGAAATATTCCGGTGAGCGAGTGAACTAAAAAAATAGCACACACACATGTAATATTTTATGCATAAAAAAGTCTGGCGATCCTGTATCTTGGTCCGGGAGAAGGGGGTACTCAACGAAGTTTTATACTATGAGGCTCCGCCCCGAGGTCCAACATATTCCTTTTCGTATTCCATTTTGACTTGACAGAAAAAGTACCCCTTTCACGTGCTTTCATGACCGGCCGGTAGTATGAACAAATCGCCAATAAACGAAACCATTTTTTGCCATGTTCATGTTGTGCCTAATAAATTGGATGCACCTGTTCGAAATATCTTAATTAAAGCACTTTTAAATGGCTAAATGGCAGACTGCTACATACCCTTTTATATACCTCGACTCGCGAAATCCCTACCCTTTTACATACCTGCAGCCTGAAAAGGTACCCCTTTTGTGCGGAGCCCTCCCGTATAGGCCAACATAGGGACTAGATTCCCCCCCCCCCGGTATATTAGTGCCTCAGCTGGGAGCCTATAGTATATCGATTTTTTGTTGCGTTCTTAACTTTCATGTAGGGCATATAATTGTCAAGTAAAGAATCGCGAGTTCCAGCTAGGGAATTGAGACACTATTAAAAACACACACTAAATTGAACTGAACACATCATGATCATGATCATTCTGTTTTTCTTTTTAGACTGTGGACTGTGGAGGTAAACAGTGCAATTTTAGGAATGGAAGAGGAACTACTGAATCCTGTCAAAAATGCCAGGACCTCGACAAATGTTACAAAATCGCAGTAAGAAGTGTTATGTTATTCTTACTGTATTGTTCACTATTTTATGAGATAGCGTAGCATAACCACACTATCACACGCAATGTACGTTAAGCATGGATCATAATAATGCTGCAAACACATGGCTTGGGAAGGTAAACTTCCTTCGCGCGATAAAGCAATTTCTATTGGCAATGATCTAAAGAAATTGATACATGTCTTTGCCATGCATCATCGAGTTACGACCAAGTTTTGGAGAGTACACGAGAAGCTAGGATTGCTCTCGGCCGCGCTTCGAGAAACTCTCGTTCTCTTCGAACTTCGCGCGCCTCGATTCATAATTCGAGCTCGGCTGCATGTTTAAGCTTGAATTAATTAATAATTAAAAAGCCAGAAAAATCTAAGATGACGCGAAGCCCGCTAGACGATCTATAGGAAACTCCTTTTATCCGATAGGTATTCCCTCCTACGATGGCTAACTCTTTTGATGAAAGTTAAAACTAACTGAGATAAAACTGTTAACATTAAATTAGCAGGAAGAAGGTGAATGTAGAAGGTGGAATGAGACTCGCTGTCCTGATGGCCAAGTTAGTGTGGACTATACTGACCCACAGAGAGGCGAGAACGTGAAACTCGCTGAAAATGTGAAATTTGTCGAGGCAAATACCACGGTTATTTACGCCTGTCCGGTGATTACGGCCCAACATAAGGACATTTCACTTGTATTTGTTGCACCGAAAGTCCTAGATGTCCGAGCCGGCGATATACTGTGCAGTCCTCAAGCCGGAGGGATTATGCATAAAATAGTTGCAGAAGTCAGCGATGGTGAGTTTTGTGAGGGTGTCAGGATGGTCATGCACTTCTGGTTCGGAAAACGTAACTTATAAAATGCTTTGAGTGGCGTTCTCGCGTATAACTCGTGGATTTAAGTTGTGTGTGTGTATGTGTCGTGTGAACCACGTGATCAACAATGATTATTTGATTAAAGTTAGCCGTGTTCAGACCAGGGAGGGGTAAGGGTGGAAACCACCCGCGTTCAATTTAACCACTTACAACGTTTTTAATCATGATTCAAATGAAAGCTGCCACAAGTTGCGACTTTATGAGAACTGCAACTGGGAAAAAAATTGGCTCGACATTTCGCTGTTTCCATGGCAACCGTATTTCAACAGGCATGTCTAGTTTTGGAATTTTCTTGTACCATTGACAAAATTCAAATTTTATGCCGGTTCATATATTTTCATTCTTAGGACTTCTTAGTATTGCTTTATTGATTTTGATTGCAATTGCTTCTGAGTCGTTTCTGCTGATTCTTGACGTTCTGGAAAAAATGCAAGGTGGCGGATCCAAATGGTGGCTGTTTGGAAAAAATGACATAATTATGATGTGATATGACGTCATCATGCCATCTTGCATCTTGCAAAGATATTTTTTGATGTACTATATATTCCCTCCAAGTAACATCATTTAGTACATAGTATTAATGTGTAATAAAGTGGTGGAAGGAGGGGTTTGAAATTTCCGTTTCGCCCCTCCCTCCGGTCATAAACTATTGAAAAAATCTGGTCTACATAAAACTTAATTTAAAAAAAAAAAACATGTTTCGTGCCTCATGTTATTTGCCAGAATCCAAAATAAGCTCGATGCAAAAGCAACAACCAAGGAAAGAAACCGAGCGGATCTTCACGCTACTTAAACTTAGTACGTATTTATGGAATTAAATGAAACCTGTTTAGGGTGCAGTTGATGCACAACTGTTTCTCGGGCACATTGAATTCGTTCGTAAACCGGGCGGAACATCTGATAACTGCAAATCCTTGCGCTCTTAAGCTGATTCGGAGTGGAAAAAGGGATTATTTCTTGCAACCATCGAATGATGCCCTTAATCTGTTGTTATTTCGTTTGCCAGGCCCATTTCGAGTGATGATGAGCGCCCCGGCAGGCTTGGAGGAAGTCATTAGGTATGCAGACTTCAAGAAAAAAGCGACGGTGGAGGACGTGGACGATGATTCAACTCTGGAGGAGGAACCGGATGAAGAGGACTTGGAATAAATTATTTCTGGAAACATCACGGTTAACTCGAGCCGTATAATTGTCCTACCAGACGGTGAGTTGGTTCGTTTTCCCTACAGTGTTTTTTTTTTTTTAACATAGATCTTAGCTCTACTTTACTCAGGGATTGATGGAATGCTAAGAAACATGTACAATGTAGGTGAGGAAAAAATTAAAGTAGGCCTTAATTTGGAAGACGTGTTTTCTTTTTGTTCTTCAAAGTAGGTGTGATGTATGCCAGTTGAACTTTTACTGCAGCCATGCACCACCTTGCGAACAAAATAAATAAGCTTCACTCCTATTTAGCCATAAGATGTTGCAGAACGAGAATCCTTTTCTTCAAGCTGCTGACTTGAAACAAAGTCAGGATGTAGAGGAGAACCCGATTCGATAATGAGCTGTCTCCAAAGCCATTCGTTTGAGTATATCTATGGATGAAATTGTGTTATTAAATTCCAGTGTACAAATGTCTTGGGCACACGTACGAGATTGGAAACTCCATTGTTCACTCTTATTACCTGGTGATAGAGAAAAACCTCACGGTCCCCAAGGAAGGCGACATTGTAGCGTCAAACGTGAGTGGTGGGTTCATCGAGACTCTCGTTTCAGTTCATAAAACCAACGACACAGGATACTTGGAAACAAAGTTTCAGCGATGCAACGAGAATTCTCAGTTGAATTCCACCAGGTATAGTGATATTAAAATAATTTTTTTTTGTTTCTTCTTTTTAGAAACAAGTTTTAATACTAGAATAAAGTTGTCATGTTGCTGAATGTTCTTTTAAGAAAGACCTTAAGTACGCGATTTAAATATCACAGAAGTGTGGCATACTAAAGTATAAGCAAAGTGGTCCAAATTATGGTATAATTTCCTGATTATCTCTCTTCCCTTCCCCCAACCCTCCCACCACCGGTTTTTTTGTTTTTTTGTTTGTTTGTTTGTTTGCTTTTTCTTTTTTGCACCTTGGCACCTAGTACAAAGGACTTCGACCACATTTCACGTTATTAAGTAAAAATAAAGAAAGAAGAACAATGCCGAAAAATCTGCCTTGGCTTGCCCCAAATATAAGTTACTTATAGATAATATGTACATCTATACTTGCGTTCTGCGGAGCCATGTGGCCATGGACTACTAATGGGGCCATAGACTACACATGGAGCCATGGACGACACGCTTGTGTCTACAATAACAAAGCAATGATAAGGAATAATTCCTCGCTTTATCTATTTCTAAACCAACCAGACTGACACAAAGTAGACAGACATTTTCCCAGTCGGTGTTCTGTAGCGGAGGAGACAACAACCCTGGACTCGTGCTTTCAGCAGCGGGAGAAAGAGTTGAACATTTTGCAATCAATGACTCAGTGGTAGGAAGGCCAAGCCGTGGCTACATCGCAAAGGTATTTCCTAAGGAAAAAATGCAAATTGTACTTTGACTTCCATTTGCAATTAATTGACAAATTAAAAGACTAGCAGTTTCTTCTCTTATGTGGCCTGGAATGGATTAATTCTAACATGTCAACAGCCCGGTGGCCTCATGGTTAGTGCGCTCGCCTCCGAATCGTGTGGTCCGGGTAAGAGTCCTGGCTGGGGACACCGTGTTGTGTTCTTGGGCAAGACACTTTATTGTCACAGTGCCTTTCTCCACCCAGGTGTATAATTGGGTACCGCCGAATTTAATGCTGAGGGGTAACCCTGCGATAGACTAGCATCCCATCCAGAGAATAGGGGTGGGAGGTAGGGGGCGGTAGATATACTCCCAGTCGCCTCATGCTACAGAAACCAGGATTAGCTCGGGCCTGATGGGCCATCTGGTTCGTATGCAGACTTTACCCAACAGATTTAACTGTTTTCTCGTTGTTTCAGGGACACGCCCAAATCTACTTGAACACGTTAATTTTATTGTCAAAACCGCTTCAAACTGCAGTAAGAAGGCGTGGCAAATGGTACTCAGAAGAACTTGCATCACTTCAAGTTTTATCTGATCGGAATAAGAACATTTTGTGGCGAATTTCGCAGTCAAAGGTCTCGACTTCTTGGCAACTCTCGGATTTTACTATTGGTCAGCCCTATAAGAAAAAAAAAATGGGAAAACCCTTCATGAAGGGAGAAGAGAGGACCATCTTTTTCCGTTCTCCCCTTCTCCCTCACTAAGAGATCCCTTTTACAATCTGCCTTCTTCCTCCTGCTATTGTTGTTGTTGTTGCTGTTGTTGTTCAGCCTCTCTGGGTTTGATTTTTCTCTCATATAGGTTATAAAGGTTATTTCCAATGGTGATTTTTTCCTTGTGGAAGTGATTTCGGCTGAACTGAATGAAAATGGAACCGTTCGTACCGCAGTGGATGTAAGTCGATTACAAAGCCACCACAGGAGGACAAAACGCTCGTCAAAAGAAATTGATTTAGCCAGCTTTCAATCCAGGATAAGTCACAAGGTATTAATATTTAAAAGGCAGGAGACCCGTAGTCATCTCATAGCGTTACGTCAGGGGCCCATGGTTTCCTGGTTACATTAAGAGAGTGATATTTGAAAATGTCAAATGTTCTTCTATCAATACTGCCCGACTCTCACTCTCCCCTCTCGCCACATATGACCACCGCAGTCCTTGCCTAGTAGTTCACTCCCTTCTATTATTTGTTCTGACTTGAACATAATAATAGAAGTTATATACCCCTGTTCATCGTGCTTTTTTGGTCTTCTGGGACCAGTTTGGGGTGGAGGGGGAGCCAGGGCCCACGCCATGTTACTATTAGAGTATCAAACTTATTACAATAAAAATTAGAACTAATATATCAAACACAAAAGGCCATGTTTGACCACATTTCAAACACCGAGAAGAGAGTTGAAAATACGACGCGCAGCGGAGTATTTTTGTACGAACTTCGTGGTGTCTGGAAATGTGGTCAAACACTGTCTTTAGTGTTTGATATATCTTCTCAATCGAAACAAAAACTAAGGAGAAAACGGAAATGTAAAAATCGTAAAAATCTATGCTAATTAAAATCAGATATCCAAACTCCATCAGGGTCATGACTTCCTGTGTTTAAACTTGATGAACTATTGATGAGATTGAGACGAGGGTTTAAAGCAGGTCCAAAAATATTTAGTTGAAGGTCCCTTGCATGGAGTGTGGATGCCATTTGACAAAGCCGGGAATGACGGATAAGCCATCTTTGGTTTCATTATTTTATTGAACGTTGGCAAACCAGCAAAAATAGTCAAAACTGATAAGCAAGCTTACGTTATCTCATTACAAGGTAAATTTCGCTGGCAGGAAGTTTAAAGTTATTTCATTACCGACGAGAAAGTTCAGATTTTTTTGCATAATAAGCAAGAGCATATTTATAACGTTTTAGTCACTGACTGTAACTTTAGTTTTCACTCACGATAGTTTTGTGTTTGTTTGTTTGCTTGCTTTTTCCTTATGCAAGGACATATTTAAAACGCTTCTTCCACAGATGCTGGCTACGGGAAATGCAAAAATCCAGGTCTCCATGTCTGCCTATTTAAGTCTGACGGCGTTTGTTGAGATCGAGTCCAAGTGGTTTGGATTTGGAATTAAGGACGCTACAGCCGGTTTAAAGTTAGAGGGAGGTTTGGATTTCTCCTGTGACATTAGTGTCGATGGGGAATTAAGGTTTGTAAGACCTTTCTTGCTGTGCATAGCAGTCTTATACCCAATTCATACTGGAATGAATCCTCCAGATAAGTGCTTTTCAAGCTGATTAAAACGACACCTAGAAGTCAAGGATCATTTTCAGCGTATCTTTATGTTCACAACGGACCGTTGTCAATTATTGACAAATTGCGAGAGGACATCTAGATTTATCGGTTAAGTTTACCAGCTCATTAAATTTGCTGGAAGGGTGGAAAGACTCAAGGATAACTTCCTCCATTCAGCATTGAGTCTTCAGCGTGCAAGCGATAGTCAATTCGGGGAACTCCTTGCTGCCTATTCGGTTTTAGTATAAATCTACTAGCGTTCTGTCACGAATGACGTTCTCTGATTGGCTACGCTACTCACTATGTATTCTGTTGCAGATAGTGGGTAACGTAGCAGTGTGCTCTTCTTAACAAAATGAACGCCGCTTCATTGCGTTTTCGAGGTGTCTGAAGAGGATTTAGATAAAGTTTTCAACGACCAGTAGATTTATACCAGTGTAATTAGATTATACGCTCGAGAATTCTATCACGTGATACTTGACGGCAGCCCTCGTCAACTATTACGCGATAGAAATCTCGAGCTCATAATATAGTTGTTAATTAGAAAACTGAATCATGTAGTTGATCAGCTGGCATTGTAAAAAATGTGTGGCAATAGAATATTATTTTAGGTTAACCTTGTAACTCGTAATCAATGCTTTCAAAGGTATTCTGGAGATCTTATTGTGATGAAGGATAAACAGCTTGGTAGCACAAAGTACATTCGCTTTGGTGTAATAAAACTTCCTGCCGGAATATTCTTAGGGTTGACTGGCCAAGCAACCGCTACACTATCTGTAAGTAAAACTATACTCTTAAATGTTTAATAAAGATGTTTCCTTTATTCTCAATCATAAGGCAATTTCTTTCAGCCGTTAAGAAGGTAAGAAGAGAAAAAGGTGCAACACAGTCGAAAAAATATCAGTTGAGTCCCTGGCACTCAAGCAGTTTAAGACCTGGGTCAGGAATGTAAAGTAGAATTATGGTTGGGCTGCTATATCTCTTGTTATATTTGTTTTGCCTAGCTGAACTTTTCCCTGATCGTAACATTCGACGTCCTCCTTGCCTTAACATATTATTTTGCCCACGTGACATGTCACGTGATCATTTTGTTAAAATTTGATAGATCGGCGAATTGGAGGTGAATTTTCATTCTATTGATCAATAAATGAGCGTTTTTGATGCAGATTTACATTACCTACCATGCTACGTTTGGAATGATCTCCCTTGATTTCGTTTATAGAAGATGTAAATGATCAAAAGTCGAATTTTGTTGGAAAAAAGGACCTTTCACCCTATAAAATTTTTCTGTGAAAAGAGGGACGGTCATTCCAAGCGTGAGAAGATTTAAATCATTGACCTGCATCTAAAACGCGTTTTTGCAGGATGTTATTACTAAAAACCGCCACCAATTCCTCAAATAATGGCTTTTTTCCGCTAAACGTCACGTGACATGTCACGTGACGTGTCAGAGGCACCAATTCTACTTTAAAATGTTCAGGACGTCAAAACCTAACTGTGTGCTAAACCTCGTTCCATTGTCATTTATAGCTTCAGAAATATAACTAATAAATTATTTTCATCAGTAAAAGCCTTTGACCCAGGCCTTAAACTACTTGAGGCCATTTTCATCTCTATAATTTCCTAAATTTGTTCAGCGCGCCTATGGTCTCAAACTTGCGCAAGCTAAATATTTAACGCCATCGTTCAATTCCACTAAAAAATTTAACGTTAAAAAGCAACGACGTTTCGACCGCTCGACGGTCACTTACAAGTTGAAAAGTAAAATTTTTGCATGCGCCCAAATATATACAATCGATTATAAGAATGCTCATGAGACACTGACTAAAACTATAAAATATTTACATAGAAACAATACAAGAAAATTGCAGCATGAGTACTCATGCCGCAATTTTCTTGTATTGTTTCTATTGGGCCTCAGCGTCTTATTTTAAATTAAACTCCAATGAGCAGCGGAGTATTTTCACGAAGGGAAATGTTTGATATATCTTTACATTTCTTTTGTTTCGTAAAAAAAAAGGGTTTCTTGTTTTTCTTTTTTTCGGATGTCAATTTCCAAGCAGCATGAAACCTTGTAAGCGTAACATTAGATTCGGTACATACATACATACTTTATTGTTACCTCCCCAATGGGGCTTTTCAGGAACAATTACTTAAATTACTAAGTTACTAATAACTATACAATCAAAATTAATCAAATTTAAAAAAAA